GTCAGATTAACAAGCTCAGTATAATTGATTAATAAACTCTGATATTATAATATCATTATTTACATCTTATAAGTCAGCTTTGTAAGATAAAGCTGTGTTTTTAATTGATTCAAATTATCAGTTAATTTCTCTCAATATTCTTCAAATCTTGCATTGAAATTGAAAGAATTCTTATTATCTTATTAATATAATAAGTTGAATCACTGCACTGCTGTGAAGCTGTGATTATAATAATCTTTAATTTAATTCAGTAGAAAGTTCTTGAATTCTTTTCAAGTTATAACAGTATTAATATACTCAAGCTCTCTCTTCTTAATAGCTCAAGTAGTTGCAGAGATGTCTTTAAGAAGATTGACAGTGTATATTACTTATACCTTATGAGTATTATACTGACTCAGATTAAGATGAAATTTTCATTTAAAAGTACAGATAAAGCTGTGAAATTCAGATAAGATATTTCTCTTATATCTCAGAGAATCTCTGATCTTAATCTCTCTATCTTTATAATAGATGTAGGTGTGTAGAGGCTGCAGTAGTGATAGAACAGTTGAAGAGCTTATATCAAAATATACAGTGAGTTCAGAAATCTCAGATTTCTGCTGAGATAGAGATATACATACTCTAGAAAATGATGTAATATTTTCTTCAGAGAGTGAAGTTAAGTCAGTCTTAGTATAGATATATAAGATTATATTAGTCTATTAGAGCTTAACTGATTCAAACTTATAATCAGATTAAGTGATTCAAATTATAATGTAATAGAACTGAAGTAATGACTAGTCAGTGATATTATATAGAAGTAGTTGTTTAAAAAGCTGTATAAATAAGCTTAACTATCTTACTTGAATAGCAAGCTCATAGACTACAGAATTATTGTGAGAATATCACAGATATAATACTTAGTATACTAAGAAGATTGTATAAGACACACAGTAACTCTTGTATATATCTCAGTAGAAGAAAAAATGAATCACTGACTTCTTTAATAAGAAACTAGTATCTAGCTATTCTATATAGATAATAAGTGAATACTCTTCTTTTATTTCATAAGTAAGAATAGTCAGAGTGATATCTCAGCAGCATCTTATTACTAAGAAAGAGTAATCTGCTGACCTTATATAGAAGCAGAGTTCTTATATTCATTAATCAGATCTTTCTATGATATATCTGAATAATATTATAGAGTGATTGAAAACCGGTTCAGATAGAATGAAATTATTCACATGAAAGTGATGAGCCGTGTGAAACCGCAGCAGGGCCTTGACGCGGCCGGAAGCGTGATAATAAGAAATAATAGTCTATTAATATCTTAATCTCTGAGAGAAAATAATTCTGAAGTAATCTATTAAATTATACTTACAGTCTGTTAACAGTTACAGTTTCTTATTAAAGCTGCAGTAAGAGTAGTAGTAATATTTAAATTATTCTAAACTAATTCAGTTATTAATTATCAATTATTTTCTATTTTAACTATAAGTACAGTTACTATATATATCAGTAGCAGTGATTATATTAAAAAAGTAAAGCTTATATAATATATAAAGAATCAGCTGAATATATATATTAACTTACATTATATTAAGCTGATTAAAGAATATACTGTATCTAATAATTATAATATTCTGATAGAAGAGAATAAGTATTAAGACTATAAAAATTTAGTACAGTAAATAAATCATCAGAATATAAAAAAGATACTACTCTTATAGAAGAGTTTTCAGTGAATCTTATAACTAATATTAAGAGATTTCTTTAACAGCTCTGATATACATCTGATATAGAAGATTTAGAATTTATATATATATTATTCAGCACTTTTTAATAATTTGTTAAGAATGAATAAAGAAGCTGAAGATAAGAATGATAATTTACTAAACTACTCTATTAAGTTAATATTAATAAAAGATTATATTATTTTGAAGATTTTTAATTATCTATTATTAAACAAGATATCAGAGAAAGTTAATATATAATTTATAAATCTCTTTAAGCTTGAATTACTTTATTTATTTCTTAATAATCTGTGAGAATTCTATGATACTGATTGAAATAAGTTCTCAGTTTTAAAACTAGATCACTGTCTAATTCTTTTCTATAATAAGTTAATATTCTTAGTTTAGTATATCTCTTCAACTAATCAATCAATCAGTTATTAACTTATTAATATATAAATCAGAGAGTGTGTTCACTGAATCTCTCTGATAAAGAGAGATATTTTTTAATATCAGAGAGCTGATTTTAATCAGATTATAACTATCTTTATTTATAAAATAAGAAGAATTAAGTGAATTTTCTTTATACTTACTTCTTTATATTATATTGAATAGAATTATCTACTGAATCTGCTGATTTTATAAGAGAATTCTGATAATTATACTATTATCAGACTTTCAGCAGTTCAAAAGATAGTATTATATAATATTTCAATACTGAATACTGATAAAAATAATGATTATTTAATATATAAATCTTGAATAATAAGATATTTACATTGCACTTGAAATATCTTGTTTCTTTAGATAGTAATTTAATTTATATAAAGTAGTTAACTAGTCTAGCTGAATAGTATACAAGTATTGATTTTACTGATAGAACAGTATATCATGACTCACAGTATTTTAGTAGTATCTTGATGATGACATCTGCTGATTATATGATGACTGAGTCATTCTCTGATAATGTCAAGAAGTTCTGTGCTGTTTCAACACTATCTTGACATTTAATTTTCAGCAACATGTTACCAAAATCAATTATGGAACATGTGTTACAATCGGCGACACATGACTGGCGTGGAACGGTGGAACCACCGTGGAATCACCGTAAATTAACCCTACGTTCTTCCGGTATGGTAGTAATCACCAACAAGTCTCTCTAGGCAGCAGGTGAGCTTCTGAGATAACCTGTATTGAAGGAACAAAAATACTAGTACTAATATGCAGCGTGAATTCCTTTTACATGAGCCGAAATATTCGGCAGCATGTATGTAGCACCCCGAGCTCATTGCAAAAGACGACAGAAGCGTGCCGCCGTAAAATCAAGATATATGTCTGCATTTTGGCTGAGTTCCATGGGCTACCAGAGAACCTTATCGAAGAGCCGCAACAGACCCGAAAAGCCTAAAACTCTAAATGCACGCGCCTCCACATTACATCAGCCGGACCGTGCCCCACTTTTACTCTACTTAACCGTGAACGGCCTAGCGCCACCTTGACATCAGAAATATTGTTGGAACCAGCCACTGATTTACTTCCCAGATTGTCGGACTTCCCGTCAAGGATTTAATGGCAGGGGCTGGGGGAAGAGAGTCGGAGGGTGATATATTATGCTGGAGGGGAGGTCTTTCTCACATTTTTTCTCGCTTTACTCTTTTACTCTATCTTTCTCTTCATACCTGCCTCCACTTCCTGGACATAGTGTTTGCTGCATTTCGTTCAGTATATACATAGTTGCCATACTCTTTTACCAGCTGCTTGCATATCGATTTTCGCAACCATTTCTTCTATTTGCTAATAGAAAATTTACACGCCAATTGTAATCTTGAAGTAAGTCGAACTTTCATCGGTCTATTTTTCGGTTGTATGATCTAATCAGTTGCTTGCTCCGGGTGCGCACGATGAACATGCCAAACATGTATTACATTCGCGACATTGTAACAGCCTGACAATGGAAGCAAATTATGTTAGCTGACAGATAACTCCCGCAGAAAACTTTCCTTCGCATATAGTCTCCCGGAGACGATAACAGCTATCCCATATCTCAGTACCAATCTTTGCTACTCCCGCCTTCCAAAAACTTTTAATCCATATCAGAGCATTATTTATTGGACCTCGAAAACCGACCATCAAGTTCTCCGCTCCATAAGTCTCCAAAGAGGATAAAGAGCTCACCCTCCACCCTGTCGTACCACCTCTGTGTTCGCCGCACATCGACTCGAAGAAGCAACGACGAAAGCGCCAAAACAATGGTTAAGAAAAATATAGCCATCGCTATTATCTTGATAATTTTCTTTATACTTGTCGGGCTAGTCTGCTTCGTAATCTACGCCATTAAGAACCGTATTCTCTTTTTCGGCCGGCAGAGGGCACTCGACGAAGAGGACGGAGAGTGATCACTGGATCAGCCTATATATTTATATCCCCCCTTTGAGTGCCAAATCTAAAGATTGTTGAAGGAAAAAAATATTGCGCAAGCTGACGTCTCCATAAGGGGAGACTCGACTGCGTGCCTTCCCTTTCCACTGCGGAATTTTTTCTCGTTTCTTTTCTTTTCTTTTCTTTTCTTTTTTCCGTCGGGGCATGAGCGCAAAGATTCTGGGTTATTTACGATTTTCAGTTATACACTTCACTGATAACTTGCGGAGAGTTGAATGGAGTGACGAGTTATCATTAATGATCGTCCGACCCTTCTCCAAGTGCCCCCATTAATCGACCAGGTGCCATGGGGTTCAAATCACGGCCCCTACGTCGCTATATATACCGCCCCCACCTGGATTGGATCGTCGAGGTTGATCTGAATATGATATATATGCTCCTGCCTATATCCATACCAGTTACACCCTTGCCTATTCGTCCCGAAATAAAGGCCCGTCGACGAAAAAGAAACAAAGCGAATGAATTGAAACGACAGCCTTTTAATCGGATATTGATGTCATGTTTTATTGTTTATACCTTGCATTTTCACGCAATACACGATATTACACGATACCTGTACCCTCCTCAAACCTCTCAGATATTTATACCCGCAAGGAGGAATTTGTTGCTGGATGCTGTTTTCATGATTACGGTAACGGGTTTCAGTTTTGGATTAGATTTTATGATTTCCCCGCAAGCACTTGAGATGAAGAAAACGACCATATAGAATGACGGTCACTGGAGCTCCGGAGGCGTTTCATTGGTAATGCATATGTATGGGTTTTTTGGTGTTCGTTTGGTTATATTTCTCCATCTTTTTAAAATAATTTTGAGACATATATATACCAGTAACTTGTCTACTGTTTACGTGTTTACGTTCATTTCTGCACGAACCTGAGTGAAAGGGCGCTCATTCAAAATATATGGAGTCCGCAGAAAGAGTGCAGATTCAGGGATGAAGTGTGGGTATCAGAGCAGAAGCAATGCTGCGTGGGATTGAACGCGTAAGGGATTTGCATCTCCTCGCAGAACAAACAGCGGAGCTTCGCTTCTCACCACCCCGATCAGGGATATAAACAGTTTTGGTCTCTGCACATAAAGTTATATCTCTCTCTTTTGTACTCCGTACAGTATATGCGTATGTAGTAGTGTGAGAAAAATGAACGAAATAGTGAGTACACAAATATCAACAGGAGTAAAATACAAAAAATACTGGACACAGCTGGAAGGGATCGCTGTCGGACTGTCAAGATGTGAGGAAAATGAAATATACATCGTAGATGTCTGCTGCTGGAGAAGCTCAGCCCTTCATGTACTTCTCTTTGCACTGCCACGGTGTTCAGCTTATAACACCCCCTAGCAGGTTAGTTTAGGGCCCGGGGGGGGGGGGGGGGTGGAGGGGGGCCGTAAACATCTCACTCCCAGAGTCCATTTAAAAAGTGAAGGGTTTAACTTAAAGAAAGGTAGGAGAGGGAATATGTGCACCGAGGTTGGTGTAAAACATGAAGTTAAGAGGCCCGGAATAAAAAAGACATACAAATATATATAAAAAATGGGAAAGAAAAGGCCTACATGAATCCAACCGTATGTCCCCAGTGTTTATATATAATGTTAGACTGGTAGAGAAAGAAATATATGACAAAATAGCAAATGACTAGGTAATAATGACAATAAATGCTCGCTTGCTTTCCTTCTTTGTTAGATTCACTTCCCCCCTTTTCCATGCGTAAACGATGCAGATAATCAAAAAGAAAAGAGAAAAAGACATATAGAAAAGTTAAAAATGCATCACTAGCCAAAGATCATGAAGCAATATCTGGGACACCATCATGTTAGAGTCATTTAAGAGGGAAGGGTAGATTCGGGAAATATGGAAGGAGAAAATCTATTAAATACTACAATTGAAACAAGGGCTCTTTCGCTTAGGTTGACTTATTTGCCTGCGGCTGCCGTTGTTGCTGCGAACAAGCCCCCATCAACATCTCCAGCCCATTAGTATGGCCGTTGCGAGTAGTCGCGGTAATATTATTGTTAACATTGTTGTTGCTCGCCGCAACGTGTGTGCTGTTAGTGTTATTGTTATGATTGATATATGAGTATTTCTGTTCCTCTAGGCCAGCACCTATTCGGGATATCGGGGCCATCGTAGCTGTGCTGTGGGCGGGCTCATGTTTGTTATTATGATAAGCACGATAGGGAGGAAGATAGGGTTTGTCATTGTTCAGTCCAAGGGGGCTGGATTTGGATTTCAGCGCTGGAGATGTGTCTGCTACTGTTGAAGGGGTTGATGGGTATGTGGAGCGGGATAGGTGGGTCTGTTGTGAGTTATATTCCGTTGAGGATGGTGGTGGTAATGGTGGGTTCAAGTTACGGTAGGTAGTGTCTGCCTTTTCATCAACTTGTTGAGTGGGGTGTTGGGGGCGACTGCTGTGACTTGTACGTTGTCGTTTGGGAGGCCGGAAGGGCTCGTCAGTCCTGTTTGGATCGCGCGTTTGGTAGGGAGTTGGGTGCGTATTGGTTGCGGCGAAGCTTTGGTTGGAGGAAGGGTCGGGAGTGACTGGCAAATTTCGCCGAGGGGAGGAGGGTTTCGCGTTATAGTGGTGTTGGGAGTAGTGGACAGTTGCGCTGTTGGACCCGCTCCTATGGTAATCACTATTGGTGTTGGAGCTATTGTTGCGAGGGGAGTTATTAGAGTCCGGGAATATGCTTGGGACCGCCCCTGAACCAGCCCTGCCCATGCTCTTATCATGCATAACCACCCGTTTCCACTTCGCGACTAAATTGTCGTAGTCCCACCGCGAAGAATCTATCCTGTTCAATTTGCTGTCTTCAGCTAGCGCTCTGGACACCATCCGTGGGATGGGTAGCATCTCTGGGGGAAATATGGCGAATTCCCGAGGCCACTGGCAATTCTCTAGCCTCTCAATCTGTGCTTGTAGCTGATTCACCTCTTGCTGCGTCCGCGCTAGCTGGTTTTCGACTTCCTCACGCCTCTCCTTTTCTCGTGCAAACGCACGGGTAATCTCCATTCGCCAGATATCAGTTCGAGCATCTTGTGGCAAAGATATCCAATGGTTGAACGAGAGTTCAAGGTGTCTGATGGCCATTTCTTCATGCTGCTGTGCGGACCTTTCAATCATTCCTTGGTCCCATGCTCGTGGGCTACCCGCATTCGAGCCTCCGGTTCCTTGGTAAGCAGATGAAGCTACAGCTGCCAACTGATTAGACTTCCACTGCTGTATCTGCACCAGCATCGCCTGTTTTATGATGTCGCGTTTGTCGATGCCTGGAGGTTCTAGGGGGAAGGAGGTCGGGGTTGGAAATGGATGGGTCGAAAATAGGCTGGGAGGAGGGGAGAGTATATGGAGACAAAGGGCCGGAAACGTTTGACGTTGAAGATCGAAGTCAAAGGGATTCATCCGTGATTCGGTCCTTGAACTTTAATAATATGTAACGAATTATTCATGCAGTGTAAGCTACAGATATACAGGAGCGTAGGATGAGAATGAACCAGAGAGCAACGCGCAAGGACTTTATAACTCACACTGCCGCTTTCACATTGTCCAATACTTCCCTCAGCGCCAGCTCCAAAGCTCTCGTCGTCTCAGGGCCATTCTTATCTGACGGTCGTGCCGAATAGTCAATACCCGTGGCGGGCACTCGCAGCTGCGAGGCCTGCGAGGTATTCGGGATATCATTGATTACACCCGTAGAGTGCCACGTGGGTTGATTAAGTAGCACCTGGAACCCAGTCCTACCTGGTTTGCCATTCAGTCGCGGGCCACTCTCGCTCTTGGATTCAGTGCCAGAAGCTTTGGGCGTCGTTGATGGGGAAGCGACATCGGGACTCTCCCGTTTCGCGCTCGAGTTACGCGCCGTTCGCCGCGTGATGCTGCTGCGCAGACGTCGTATCTCCTCCACATCATGTACACCATCTGGCTTCTTTTTGAACAGGTACTGGTCAAGATGGCGGCCGAGAGAGGAGGAGGTGAAGGGTTGATGGCAGTACTGGCACTGCTTGTCCTTGAGGGCGGGGGGTTTTGAGCCAGCTTGGCTGTGGCCTTCTTCACCGACGGTGGACCCTTCGGGGGTACCTGTCGGAGCGGAGACGGATTCGTTCATAGCTGGCGGCGCGATGTTTCCGCACTGTTATGTACCACTAGGGTCCAATTACTTGATTCTCTGTTTTTGGGTTGGAATGAGTATAGGGGAGGTTTTAATGGGTTGGAAGCTGCAGGAAACGAGAAAAGAAAACGGAAAAGAGAGTGCGAGAGAGAGAGAGAGAGAGAGAGAGCGACAGGAAGAATACTGGTCAACCAAACGAAAGTGAGGGCAAGTAATTAATTTCAAGGAGCGGTAAACAGACTGACAGACAGAGGGCATCCTCGCGTGCACTCTTCTTCCCTCTATGGCCGTTGAGGGAGGTTGGTCGGATGAAAAAAAGTCGAGATAAATATTTAGATAAATAGGCGGCCGCCCTCATTGGAGGGCGCGGTAAATACGTCCCGCAAAGCAGATCTACCTCAGCCAGTTCGCTAGGGGCTGTGCTTTGGTCGCCGTCGAACGAACGATGGGAACATCAAGCAAGCCACTCATCACAATAAGAGCAACATATGATCGGGCTGATTGATGAGGAGATGGTAAAGTTACAAGCTAGATAAACTGCGTGCCGCGTCGAGGTCTTCGGTATCGTATCCGTATTCCCCAATCTGTACTTTTAATTGCATATTTAACACGCGTTTCAGGATCACCAAACTGTGGCAACAAGCAACAGCTGGTTATATTTTATTTTGCCTATTATTTAACTAGGTAACTAACTAACAGTTAGCCGCCGCCGCCAATTCTGCAAAATAGCCAACTATTTATATCTGCAACCATTCCAATAATTAATGGCTCTGAACAGACACGTCTTAAATTTGAATGCATTTTATCATTGGAAGAGTGATCTTGCAACTGAATCGCGAGGACAATGCACGAAATTATCAACCTCGCATCTCATAGGGCGGGGTTGTCCTTTTTCTTTCTTTTTCAACTCGTCCAGTTTACAGGATGGGATGGGTTGGCAAACCGCAAGTGCAACATGAATTTATTACAGCCCCACACACGGGTGGGAGTGGCTGGGCGAATCCACGGATAGATCATGGTTGATTGTCCTCTGTTTCTCTACTCCGTAACTACGCCATAACGGAATCACTTATATACAAAACAGATTCCAGTTGTTCTTCGATAAACAAGAGTGACATTAGACATGAGAGGGGACAAGGAGACGGAGACCGAGGGAGGAAAGAAAGAAGATTAAAAAGTTAGGATAAACATCAGATAAAAAAAAATTGAACCGTTCACTTGTTAGAATCTCGTCAGCTAACTCGTTGTGGGGAGGTATGCCCCGTTGTCTGCTTGTGACAACTTCCGAATCTTACTTATATTCTTTTGACTTCCTCTCCCAAATATTCCGCAAGTGCAATCAATTTCTCTTCCTGGAACCTCCTCCCAACAAGCTGTAGGCCCACAGGGGCACAATCATAAATCTCCGCGTCATCTGTATGCAACACCCATAAATTAAACTCTGCACAATGCTGAAGACGAGGGGAAGAATCCAATGGTGGTCAAAATCCAACTTACATTCATCATGAATCGCCTTATCCGTATCATTCAACGGCGTATAGCCAGCATCCAGGATGTCCACCGCTTTATCAGCTGTTGTCACTGGGATAACGATAGAGCTGTAATCTAGCACATTCACAAACATGGTATAGTTGAGGTAGTTGGTTTTGCCTCTTCGTGCTGCGGGGAATACGGCTACGGGGCATAAAAGGCCATCAACGGGCCGGCCTGTTCCCGTCAACTCTGCGGTACTATTCCAGTATTCCATGTACTCTTTCTGATATTCACGTTTGGTGACGTTGATTGCTGCGATTTGGTGGGCGGTCTTTTGCGGATTTGGGACACCGCTGAAAAAGACGGATAGTTCGGGTATGGGGGCTTCGCCTGATAGACTAAATTGATAATGTGCATCGGTACCGCCGTCGAGGGTATATATGGTGATCTACAGTTGCGTTAAAAAAAAGAGAGTTAACTACATCCTAAATGACGGCATCATGGGCTAGGTTAGACATACTGCTAATTCCTCGGCCCTTTTGTGTGAGGGTGGCTTCCATTCAATGACCTATGAAGGTAGTCAGTTAGCCGTCACGGCGCCAGCGAGCATTGAACGAAATAATGGCCGGTTTGCTTGCCTTATGTCCAAGTTTCATTAGGGTAGCTGTCATGATTCGCAACGCTCTAGCAACGGGAGGAAGCGGCTGAACGTAACCATCTGAACTCATGAGGCCGAACGAAAGCTGGCCTTGTCCCGCAGCGGAATTCTTAATAAGACTTAACACTTCCTGCTCTACCTCATCCCGCCATGGTAGCTCAACTGCCAATGGATCCTGAAGCCATGGCTTCTGGCTGAGTATAGACTGGAACAAGAGCTTCAACCCGCCTGCAGTGGTGGCAAGGGGACCGACAACGGAGTTTAAGGAGTTTTGGCCATCCATAGAATTAGCCGCGCCTTCGTAGGGGATTCTGCCTGCTGACGGCCTGATGCCATAAATGCCGTTAAAAGCAGCTGGGATTCTCACGCTGCCGCCAATATCAGTGCCAAACCCGCCCGCAGATCCTCTCAGTAAGATTAAGGAACCTTCGCCTCCAGAGCTCCCGCCAGCAGATAGATGGCGATTCATTGGATTCCAAGTGTAGTCAATGATATTGTTGACTGTTTCACCGCACATTAGAGTTGCAGGAACGCTTGTCTTGCAGTGAAGCACGGCACCAACAGAGCGGAGTTCTCTGACCAGTTCACTTTCAAAGACGAGTCGTCGAGGATCCCCTGGCTGGCCCTGGAAAGTGCCAATCCAACCAACATAGCCCATGGTGGTGTCAACTCCCTTTACATGGAACTGGTCTTTTAAACTGATAGGGATACCGTGAAGGGGTCCTAGCGGCTTTTTGTGCTCTGCGAAGTACGCGTCGAGCTTCTGTGCGTCCTTCAGGGCAGCAGCGAAGTATATCTCATGCAAACAGTTGACCTGGGATATTGTGCGTTAACAAAACGGTGGACTTTTTTTTTCTTTTAGCATCTAAACATGCTAACGGGGATTTGAAGATTTGAAGGATACACACAAATTGATGTGCAAGAGCTGCTCTGTGGCAAAACGCTTCCGTCACCTCCACAGCAGTCCATTGCCCAGTGGTGGTGCGCCGCGCCAGACTGACGATATCCAATTCCGTGATTTGAATCTCTCGGGAGGAAAGGAACTGCTGGATATACGTGGTCACATCCCGTAACTCACTAGCCGGGGGAAGTGGGGTCGGAATTCGCCATTTCTCGGGGATGAGATTGAGAATAGATTCACGTTTTGCTTTGGCAGCAGTTTCCCATGATGTTCCTGTCGCCATCATGTTAACCGGATAAGTATGGTAGTCAAAGGATGTACTGGATACCAAGGCGGGGGTAATTGAGAAGTATACAGCCGAGACAAGGGTGTGTATCAGCTTGGAAAAAGACAGCGAGGGATCGGAGTCGATACAAATCTTTGTGCTGTACTCCGTAGTTATGTAGCTGAGATGAAAACCACTGATCGGAATGGGTATGACTAGAGGTTATATATGACTGGCTTTTAATGTTGTAGTCAACAGAGCCAGAGTCATACAGGGAAGTGTGGGGTAAATCATTTGAATCCTCGCACAGGCGCCATAAGATTGCCGGAAGATTGAATATTGCCGCTCAAGCTGCAACGGAAGCAGGAGTGGGTGGCTCAACGCCAAAAACCCTTGGGGCTGAGTGTGGCATGAGTGACAATTCACCCGCCCATAACTTGTAGCTTGTAACATGGGGGCCGGCCCGATCAAAGTGCCTTTTTTATCTGTTTTAAGCCCTTTTTGAACACCCGATTGAGGCTAAACAAACGATTCACGCCCATATACGCCACTAGATTATCTTTCAGGACCATCCATCTCGTGTCCTTGTGAACTTGAGTGGGCCTCACATCAGATTAAAAACTATGTTCGATGTTCTAGATTCTGTCCACAGCATTTTTCCAAGACGTTGAGTATGATTTTGAGATACATATACTGTTTGGAGTGCTTCAAACAACACTGTGAGTTTCGGTTTTACTTTACTAACTCACTAGCGTGCTGACTCATCTCAGAATAGCCGGCTTCGGATTGCCGCATCCCCCGCTTTCAATAGCTCCACACCACGGCGTTTCTATGACCGCGGTTTAGAAGGGCACAGCTCTCCCCCGCTTGATGACGCCCTTGTCGCAAGAAAATGTTAATGCTACTAACACCCATTGGAAAGACACCTCGCATCGGCTATTCAATACTGGATAGGACTTTGAAGATCGCGATGTGACAGCAAGACGATGAAAAATGACTATGTTTCTACATAGGCTCTTTCTTCTTCTATGCTTATTTGGGGAGAAGAAAAACGATTTCAAATCAGGGCGCATGTCTGTTGTGTTCTGGGCTTGAGAAGACACAGCGAAACGTCCCAAGTTTGGTTTTTAAAGAATAAACTAGCTCGGTGGAAGCGAGCCCTCGAGACAGGGAAGCACCCTTAAAATTTGGTCTCAAGGAGGTACCTAGGGAGGTGCAGGAGAACATAAAGCACGCAAACAGTAGGATGGCTGTGGAACTGGAGAAGCAACTGAGGTGCTGAAGACTGATAAGGTTTCAAGGTTATTGTTTGCGATATTCCCTCTTACCATATGGAATAATCCTGGCCATGAGTTATGGTACAATAAGTTGAAATGCTGAAGATGAAGCAACATAGTAATAGGAGATGGGTTGTGTCAACAGGATTGAAAAGCAGGGGACAAAGCACAGGGTAACTGCAAATTATTGTTGTTTGAAAGGCCGTTTAACAATATATCTGCTAGTATGGAGTTATGGAGCTGAGGAGTTTGTTGCCCTCTATGAAGGGGTGGGAAAATAAAAGTATGAAAAATGCTTTTCCAAAGAAATTTGACTCAGCATCGTGTGGATACATTTCCCTTGTAGCGAGGTTTTATTATAAACTTAGTATTCGCGTGGGAGGGCGGGAGACACTAAGGGAAGGTTGTCCGAGAAAGCGTTGTCGAGGATACCAGCATCCCAGACTATGGTAATCATCGTCGCTCTCTCCCTCGTCATAAATTTCGGTAGCACACTGAGATTAAGTTAATTCGCTGAAAGTGCCAATGCATCTCAAGCATTTATATACCCGGGACAGGGTGTGTGTTATGGTTGGTAGTTTGAAAGAATAAAGGTAGGGCCAGATTTGTTCATCTGTGGTGCAGTGCCCGTTGTTTCGGGGCGAATTGCGGGTATCATGCCGGCTACTTGAAGAGTCCCCAGGATGAGCTGTAAGATTCCAGGACCTTGACAGACTCAAAAAGCTCATGGGATGGTCTGAACCGCCAGTAACATTGAGAAGTCCCTAGGATTGTCGAGCACGGAACAGCTGTAGTGAAAACATGCCTTGTGTCCGATGGAAGCGCCATAACTTAGAAACGTACCATGTTAAGATAGTTATATATGAAGTCATGGTGAGTTGGAAGAGTGCCTTGAATATTTCTGCCATCGATTCTGCCGGTCCAGTTCAAAAGAACCGTGACACCCCCGTTATTTTTCGTCACTTCGAACCATCGTACACTTGCAAACAGGCTCACAGTGAAGCTCTCACAATATCTTGTTGAGTTGTGTCTCTGAGCTCAGGCATGAAATCGACCCGCCCCTGTGACTTAATGTTGAAAGACCTGGTCCACCTGATCAACAGCCGTGGCAAAGCGCGGATCAAGTGTGGAGATATCCCGTCCTCCGATGCCAGAAATAGTGAACCACGTCGGGTTAGGACGCCAGCACCGCTAAGTAACGAAAACAAAGAATAGAACGGCCCAGGCGCTGGTGGTGATTGAGCTCTTTTGCCCCAGTAGCCTACAAAAGGTATACTAGTAAAAGGAAACTAGTAACTAAGCGAACGGGGAGTGATGCCCCGAAAGCGGGCAGTAACCGCCTAAACCGCAGGGTCCGAGGATTTCGCGCTGAATCAAACCATGCAAAGAGGTTCACTATTGTTGTGAGCGAAAAATATTTGTAATTCCTTGCAGGCTGGCTTGCAGTTCTGGGTAGAAGGTTTGGATCAAAGAATACGTTGCCAGGTCGTTCCTACTCCTGAGCAGATGGCTTGACATGACGTCGAGTCCAGAATCACGTGATCGAGATAATGGCCGGCCAGAGTGCGAGTTAGCCAAAGTCTCAAGCTGGCTTCATCTGTCTCACGTTGAGATTGATTCTTTTGTTCGACATCCAACCCCGCCATTTCTCGAACTGAGCAGAAGCGCCGGGCCAGTCTGCCAACCATTCCGGACATGTTGAGGGAATGATCTTGGGTACTGCATGCCAGGCAAACCTTGACCGACCAGTCATGTAGACAGCATCGCCAGAGCGCAGTCGGATAACCTCACAACCAGTACCGTCTTCGTGGCCCACCAAAAAAAGTCCATCACACCCAAAACTGATACTAATTAAGCCTGTGTCGCATTCTTCGCTTACATCCCTGTGGACACTGAGAGTATCACCAGGAGAATAAAGGTTAACAATGGCAGCCTCCGGTTTCGTGTCAGGAAATATATTGCGCAGCAGGCTGGCTATATCTTCCGGGAACTGCGGTGGTATTTCAGCAGGATATACCTTGTCCGTCCAATTGTACTGTCCGCCAAGTGTTATCCAGCGCAGTTTTTTATCAAGGAATGATTTTATTGACAGCGGTGGGTGGACTGAGGGATCCTTCGGGGCTAGTTCTCGAGCTGGCTTATCCTGAAAAAAGGAGCCTCTTTTTTGCAGGGAGGAATTATGACCCTCCCGGCATGTTCCAGTATCGTCGTCGGGGGAGGTTTCTTGTAGATCGGGGTATGACATGTGGTAATGGAGGTGGATATTGGTCTTGTGGTTGTCGTTTGATAGATCACGGTGGAAGATGCGAGATAGCAATTCAATCTGTACAGCAGGAGGCAAAAGGGATGGTATAATACGTAGGCCTGGATAAAAGTTACGAATTTTACTATGTCAGTAATCAGTCATCTTGTCGTGGGTTGGAGAGCATCTCACCGGGCATTGCCTGATGTGTGAAAATAGGAACGTCTCTCAATTCCTCCTTAGATACCCGACATTGAAGCGACTGCTCTAGCGCCGACAAAATAGACCGACTAGACACATATCCGTCCCTCTGTAGTCCGTTATCAAGGGCATTGTTAGCTTGACGCTGGGGGTCGAGAATGAGCGGATGTGAGTCGATCTCTAAAGGTTTGAGGCTCCGATAATGTTTGTACAACTGGCGAATGGCAGCGGGCGGCCTTTCATGGGCATTACGCCGCATGATCTCCACCATTGCGAGCTGTTGTAACTGCTGAACGAGCTAGTTTTGAAGTCTACTTTCTTCCTTCAAAAGAGGTGTCGTTGGAATAAAAATATTCGGCACTGCATATTCTGCCGTCTGATATCGCTCTGTGAGTGGCCGTGGCTGGCTGGGCGGTGAGGCGCGTGTTGTGTTTGTTTGGTAAAATGGAAAAAAAAAGTAAACTCCAGAAACCAGAGAAACCGCAAAAAAAACGTCCCCTCCCCCCTCCCACCAGCACCGCCGGCACCACCAACGCCAACAACCTCTGGGAAAAGCATTCTGACAGGGCTGCCTCCTCGACAATGACATAGCACCAAGGATACTTCTGGCGTTTTCCAGAGAGGATTTGTACTAACCACTCCAGCACACATATTCAGCACACTGTTTTTTATCATTACAGCCCCGGTACGCTCGCTCCACTGCTCCCCGCTCGACCGGCCCACTCTAAGCCTTGCCGGACAGCAAGGACTATACGAACAGCGTTTGTGTAAGACTTGCGAAAAGGACATCAATCTGCAATCATGGAGAATTATCAGAAAATCGAGAAGATTGGAGAGGGTAAGCTCGAGTCTCGCAGTTATCTCGGACCGCAGCCAATCCCCATTTGGGAGTAGTGGTGATGACTTGTTTGCTAATGGGCGATGTCATATATCTAGGCACCTACGGCGTGGTCTATAAAGCTCGAGATCTCACACATCCCAATCGAATTGTTGCATTGAAGAAGATTCGACTAGAGGCTGAGGATGAAGGCGTGCCGAGCACTGCCATCCGCGAGATCTCATTGCTGAAAGAAATGAATGACCCCAACATTGTTCGACTCTTCAACATCGTCCACGCTGACGGCCACAAGCTGTATCTGGTCTTCGAATTCCTGGACCTCGACCTAAAGAAGTATATGGAGGCACTTCCCGTTAGCGAAGGTGGTCGTGGCAAGGCGCTGCCCGACGGGTCGGCACTTGATATGAATAGACTGGGGCTGGGAGAGGCCATGGTCAAAAAGTTCATGGCCCAGCTCGTCGAAGGCATACGGTACTGCCACAGCCGTCGAGTGCTTCATCGTGATCTGAAGCCCCAAAATCTTTTAATTGATCGCGAAGGTAATCTCAAGTTGGCGGATTTCGGCCTGGCCAGAGCTTTCGGTGTTCCCTTGCGTACTTACACCCACGAGGTAAGTACTCTTAGTACCCAGACACAAGACGTGCGCTAACTTTCTTCCAGGTTGTTACCCTCTGGTATCGTGCGCCGGAAATCCTACTAGGTGGTCGTCAATACTCCACTGGTGTCGACATGTGGTCCGTCGGTGCTATTTTTGCTGAAATGTGCACGCGCAAGCCGTTATTCCCAGGAGATTCTGAAATTGATGAAATTTTCAAGATCTTTAAGTAAGTCTCCGTTATTCTACCTATCCCGGAGCGTCGTTTCTTTGCTTTATACTCTTTTTGTACCATTCGCTATTTCAAACTAACTCGCACGAAAATTTAGACTCCTCGGAACCCCGGACGAGAATTCCTGGCCCGGTGTCACTTCATTCCCCGACTTCAAAGTCTCATTTCCTAAATGGAAGCGTGAGGAGACGCGAAAGCTGGTTCCCGGCCTGGAACGGAACGGTCTCGACCTTTTAGATGCAATGCTCGAATATGACCCTGCACGACGTATATCCGCGAAGCAAGCCTGTATGCACCCGTATTTCCAAGCTGGCAGCTCGGCATATTCGGGACGCGAAAGATTGCCTCCATGTCCATGAGTAATGATGTCCCTATCCACGTCCTGTGTTTCCCTTCTTCTTCATCCGTTTATCGCTCTCACCCACACGCTCTCTCTTCCTCGTTTCCTTTGTTTTCTCTCTTTAATTTCCCCTTTACTTGCCGTTGCCATTCTCCGACCTTGGAGACTTTGTCCTTTTGCTTTTCCTTTTACAATGGGTAACTCTATTCAGAATCACGAGGCGCGGGTTATCTACTTTCATTTTCACCCTTGTTTCTTTTTATAGCGGGAGCAATGAGGCTGAGGCTTTTTCTTTTGTCTAGCAAATAACTGTTCTTGCTTAGATCAATTTTTTAATGTTATTGTGATAAATTTTCTTCTGTCTCTTTTCCTTCCATTTTCTTTCCCCTTTCTTCCCGTCAGCATGATACCTTCGCTTATCTTTGCAATTTATAGGAACTATGCTTATGTGATGAGAAAATATTTCCACCTAAACGGGTTCTTAGGTCCCCTTTATTAAAAGCTTGATATATACATATATATATCTTGCATTATTAGGAGTTCCTCCGCTGGTGAACTGGATACTAAGGAATAGAGAGAGGCACCTCGGTGAATTGCGAACCACGGGGGTATTTTAGGACCTTAGACTTCATCGGTGAAGCGAGAACTAAGGCGTTCGACGGCTACTTTTCGGCTACTTTTCGACTCGTTGACAGCTAACGCGTATAGAACCGCATTCCTAGGTCGAATACCTACCTACCGGAGGAATCTTGATATACGGATCCTCCCATTGTTCACATAACCTCGTATAACATCTCTGTCGCCAGAGTAACGATGTATTGGTCTGCTGCACGCCTCTGTCATGAACTGAAACGGCGAATTTGAGAGCAATATCTCTCTTTAGACTGCCGTTCCTGTAGGGATGGGATGGTCTAGATAATGCTATTAAGGCTAGGCGCGAGTGCTGGTGTTTTACCGTGGGCTTTGATGTTGCCCTAAACAGCTCCTGCCTCGACCATTTGCTTTCGAGAATCACCATTCTCTGATTTGGATATCTGATAGGTAGGAGGATATGAAATTGTCTTCCCCTTTGACAACATATGTTTGGTAATCTCTCTGAAGCTCGGCAAATACTCATTACATGAGCAAACCCCAATTGCACGCACTTGAAATTTAGATTATATGCACTATCTTGGGATGCAATAAAGGGCGCCACTAAAGGCATCAACCATGTCCCAAGAAAGATATTTAATCGCCGCCCATTGTCCCATGCTGCAAAAAATGGCCACGCAGCTGTAGTATAGCTCTTGTTGGCAAGGATTGGTGTTGATATCAATTCGGCAGATTGTGGCAATTCCTACCATCGAACTCCTTCGGACCACAAGTTCTGCCAAAGCTGACTTGCTGGCAACACATTTCAGTCTATGTATGCCTGCTCGACGTCGTCAAATAATGGTGGCTTCGTCTTTTTACCTCTGTTCATCTGTTATGTAGCATTTCAGCGGTGTTCCATTTATTGAAATATGTTATTAGTAATAAGTTTTACCATCTTCGTTAAGTAACTTAATCAGGGGAGCATCTCTACTTGAGGATCAGAGGATTGTGTAGAAGAAACCCCCCTCTCATAGGAATCATGGGCCACAAAGCACAAACAGAGAAAACCTAAACAGAAGCTGGTTGGGCGGGGGGTAGGTAGGAAGCGATGACACTGCTGTCTGGAAAAATCTATACTCTGGAATTTTTGAACGCAGGCCCAGAGGGAGGCCAGGAGATGATAATAACGGCCAAGCAGGGCTCAACCACCTAAACACAGAGCTCTAATCAAACCGCAGAACATGTTACAAGTTTTCCACACTGGCAGCGGCACCATACATATATATGCTTTTGTCCAGCATAGCATCAGGGTGAGAATCTTGTAAGGGAAATATTAAACGCAAATCCACCAATATCGACTTCTTTTTCCGGTACTGAGGCTACATAAATATACCAACCAACCTACGCCCATGTCGGCGTCTTTGTACCCCACCTCCTGTGTGCCAGTATCTAGATCGAACTTAATGCAGAATGCATTTCAGTATCAATGAAGCGATGTGCAGTGCTTTGAGAGGAACGCTCTGTTACCAGCAAGGTAAAAAATGGGAGCAACTCACTCCTTAGAAGCGTCGAGGAGCAAAGGGCCGAGAACATAGGAGGAGCCAGTAATAAGCTCCGCACGGCACAGGTGCGCTGCGAAGCTATCCTCAATGCCCGTGGCGGAGTAACTGGTAGCTTGTAGACTTGCAAATCGCAGTGAGGAACCTAGCGAGTGCGGGGATGGGGATAACTCTATTGTAGAGGGGGGTAGGGGATTGGAAGATTGAATGGAGAAAGGAGAGTCAGCACCTTGGAGGAACCGCAGAGCCATGAGAGATTCTCGTCCCCGGGCCGGGTTGAAAAATGGGAATTGCTATAGAGCATTCAGTAGTTAGTTAAATATGACATTGAGCGTATCCGGTCTTGGCTGTGGCAGTTACAGCAGCTTGATGAGAGAAAGAGGCGTAATCTGAAGAAACAAGTCCTCCGCATATTGCAGTGGTTCAAGCTCAGGAACACGATATAGTTAGGCTTGATGAGCATTTTGGTTCCTTTTGAGCGGTTCTGAGAAAGTTTCGGGCTCAGCCTTAAATCTGTATGTAGCAAGCGGCTCGAACCGGATCGCTGTGACAGCAGTCTGACAGCAGTGACAGCCTGACAGGCGCATCTTTTGAGGGCGGTGCACTTGGTAAGTTAGTTACTGTGTAAGTTGGTAGTCAAGATGCTAGCATGTCGGATTCTTCAACAGTTCCTGATCCATGCCAGTGGTGGGATGGATGGTGTAGTTACTATACTCTGTTATATTTATACTCGCCAGCGGGGCATGTTGCAACGCGGAGGCTGTGCCTAGGGTCTGGAGGGGATAGCCGGGGGCGAGTCGTCCTGCTTGCGAACTATTTATTAGTTATATAATTAGTAACTCCCTGCCGCCTGGCCGGGGGATTTTTTTGTGAAAATTATGAAGACACTTCATGGATGAGATATCCGGCCAAGACACAACATTGTATTGTCGTGAATTCGCAACATGATCAAGTGAGTCTTATTAAATATACTGACTATCGAGGAGGCTCCAGTGTATCCTTGATATTTCTATAAATAAGCACTAATCTTCGAGTTATTCTTCCCATCGCAACACCGCAGTGTACATAACAATTGATATAACTATACGGCTGGGTCACTGAGTCTAAAGATTCGCTTCTGCCTTGAAAGCTGGAGGCCGACTCAAGAGTGCCATAGTTAGCCATGAGGTTCGCGCGCCAGGTATGGACGCTGACGGTGAAGAACCTCTTGCTCACTCTCGTGCGGCCTTACTTGACGACACCATTGCGGGCTTTCTTGTTACCCGTGATTTTCATAGCATTTCTGTACGGTTTCCTGTCCTGTCCGTCCGCGCCATGGCTCTCTCTCCTTGTGGCTAACAGCATATCTACCTGCCGTCAGGTCCTATGCTCGTAACCTCTTCGTCCCCCCTGCTGTGTATGGCATTGGCGATGCAACTCCAGTCCGTTCTATCCCCGAAGCCCTCAGCGGCGTCTCTGGTGGTAGGAATAAAGTTGTTTTCGTAAATAATGGCTTGACCGGTGGCGATATAGAGCGTGTGATACTGCGGGTGGCCGCACCCTTCAGAGAAAGCGGGAGGATCGTCGAAATTTTATCTTCGCCCGACAACCTATCAGATTCGTGTCGGAGCACTCTGCGGGGAACAAGTCCGTGTATCGTCGCTGCTGTTTTTTATTCGTCGCCCAACGAAGGACCGGGCGAGCGATGGAACTATACAATCAAAGCCGACGGTTCTTTGGGAGGTTTCAAAATCCGTACGGACAGGATGGACAATGACGCGGAGATATACGTTCTTCCTTTTCAACATGCAATGGACGCGGCGATTGCGTCTCTCAACGATACAGTAAAGGATTCTGTGCTCGACCAAGAGGTTTGTGGTTTCCCGCCTCACATCGGATCTCTCCATTACGGCACTAATTCATTTCTATTTTCCTCTCGTTGTATAGATAATGGAATACCCGTTTACCTCGAAAACGGCCGACGAACGAGCAGATGAGATCCGAGTAAGGTATACAGGGTCTATCATGAACTTCCTTGGCGTTGCCATTTTCATCGGTATGGTTGGTGTCACCTACCAACTGACCGGCTTAGTCGCCGCTGAACGCGAGTTGGGCATGAGTCAACTTATCGATTGTATGATTCCAAGTCGTTCTCCGTGGATACCTCAGGCGGTGCGATTTCTCTCAGCTCATCTTGCTCTTGACATGATTTACGCCCCGGGCTGGATTGTCATGGCTATAATCCTAAACTTCGGAGTCTATAGCAAGTCGTCTCATGCCATTTTGATCATATACCATCTCCTTGCTGGCTTGGCCCTCTCATCTTTCTCCCTGTTCGGGGCGTCGTTTTTCAAACGGGCTCAGCTCAGTGGCATTACGGCTGTGATAGTCTGTCTTTTGCTTGGTGTTATCGCCCAAGTAATTGGCCCCGAGTCCAACGCGGGCGTTGGGATTCTCACTTTCCTCTTCCCACCTATGAATTATGTTTACTTTATCATTTTAATGGCACGATGGGAGCGCCAGAATCTGCCAACTAATCTCGTCAAAGCCGCGCCTGAGTCTCCTTGGACAATTCCCGGTATCGCCCTTTGCGTATTTCTAATAGTCCAGATTGTGGTGTATCCAGTCTTAGCTGGTGTGATGGAACGCCTGCTCTACGGTACCCAATCCAGGGGCAGAACCATCACGAAATCTGGTACCACCTCTGCTGCTGTATCCTTAACCAACTTTACCAAGATATATCCTGTGAACTGGTTGTATAGGAATATCGGGCTTTTTTTTGGCAGTCGTCGGCAACCAGTTGTGGCTGTCAATAACCTTACCCTGAATATCACAAAGGGTGAGATAATGGTTCTGCTGGGTGCGAATGGCAGCGGCAAATCTACAACGTTAGATGCAATCTCTGGGCTCTCCAAAGTAACGTCCGGGGAGGTCACAGTCAACTATTCAGATGGAGAGAGTGGATTTGGATTATGTCCGCAGAAGAATGTTCTCTGGGATCGACTCACGGTTATGGAGCACATAAAGGTGTTTAATAAGCTCAAAGCTGAGGGGGCTGTGGATACAAATGAGCATTTAACCCAGCTGATCGAGGCCTGCGACTTGGGGAAAAAGGTCAATGCGTGGTCTAGATCACTTTCCGGAGGACAAAAGCGAAAACTGCAGTTGGCTATGATGTTCACTGGCGGTTCGTCAATATGCTGCGTTGATGAAGTGTCTTCCGGCCTAGATCCAATCTCTCGAAGGAGAATCTGGGATATTCTACTCGCAGAACGGGGTAAACGAACAATTGTGTTAACAACACACTTCTTGGACGAGGCTGATCTCCTAGCTGATCACATTGGGATCTTATCAAAAGGAGTATTAAAAGCTCAAGGCTCGAGCGTTGAACTGAAGCATAACCTCGGCTCTGGGTATCGGATTCACGTTTACAATGTCCCTGGATCTGAGAGTGCGGCAATCCCACAGTTTCATGGTATTCCGCGCGAAGACAATTATGACGAAACCGTCTACAACGTTCCCGATTCTGCGCAAGCGGCGGCATTTGTCTCTCGTTTAGAAGAGCTCGGTATCACAGAGTACCGTGTCAGCGGCCCAACCATTGAGGATGTGTTCCTGAAAGTGGCAGAGGAGATGGGTCGATCATATGTGCATGGCGATGACGAACCCAAAGGAGGCAAAACTGAATACCAGGCACCCGACTTGCTTACTGGTGGCCAGATAGGCATGGCACGTCAAGCCTGGATTCTGTTTTGCAAGAGAGCAATAATTCTGCGTCGGAATTGGCTTCCTTATACTGCAGCCTTCCTTATACCCGTGATTGCAGCTAGCCTTGTCACGCTCTCCCTCAAGGGCTCTAAGCGACCAGGATGTATGGGGCCAGAGACGGTGCTTCAAGGTGATATCAAGTCGATACTATCTCAGCTTAACCTCAATTTGGTTGTTGGACCGTCGAACAAGTTCTCCTCACTCTCACTAGCTCCCAGTGAAGGCGGACCTGGTGGCCTGGATCTTTCATATTTGCATAACAGAACCCATTTTGTCAACACCCTCCCAGAGTTCAATAATTACATCGATACGAATTTCCGCAATGTCACGCCAGGCGGTTTTTTCCTTGGGGATGATTCTTCGCCCCCTACTTTTGCTTGGAGGGGTGACGGTGACGTCTCATTTGCGGTGATCATACAAAATTCAATGGATAGTCTGCTGACAGGCATACAAATCGATACTCAATACCAAAGATTTGAAATCCCCTGGGCAAACAACTCGGCAGACTCCCTAATACTAATCACCTACTTTGGTCTGGCCTTGGCTGCCTACCCGGCTTTCTTCTCACTTTATATAACTATAGAACGGTTGCGCAACATTCGAGCCTTGCACTATAGCAATGGCGTTCGGAGTCTTCCGCTTTGGCTAGCATATGTCTCTTTCGATTTTTTAATCGTCACAGCTAGCACTGTTTTAACCATCGTGATTTGCGTTGCTGTGTCAAGGGAGTGGTACCATATTGGGTATTTATTTGTTGTCCTGTTCCTCTATGGTTTGGCATCGACGTTACTTGCGTATGTCATATCGATTTTTGCAAAATCTCAGCTCGCCGCATTTGCCTTTGCGGCCGGCGGACAAGCGTGAGTGATCTTCCTTGGATCCCAGAAAACGGTTGTTGCCATATTGACATGAATTAGGGTTGGCTTCTTGCTTTATCTTATCGCGTATTTGTCAGTTCTGACTTACATCCCGTTTGACAAGATCGACCGCGTGCTCAACGTTGTGCACTTCGTCATCGCTGCCTTTGTGCCCATTGGCAATGTAGTTCGAGCTTTGTTTGTGTCTCTCAACCTTTTCTCCATCCTGTGTCGGGATAAAGAGGTTGCTACGTATCCTGGGGAAATCACCCTCTATGGTGGGCCTATATTATACCTTTCTCTACAATCGTTGCTTCTGTTTGGTGTATTGCTGTGGCAGGACAGCGGCCCACTACTCAAAAGGTTTAGAAAAGATGTCAAAGGAGAAGATCCCGAGATTGATGTCGCCAACGACGGAGATCTTGGCAATGAACTTGCTCGGATGTCCGCCTTCAATGATGGCCTCAAAGTGGTACATCTAACTAAATCATTTGGACAGTTCGTGGCTGTTCAGGACATTACTTTTGGCGTTGCCCGTGGTGAAGTATTCGCGCTTCTTGGACCCAATGGTGCCGGAAAATCCACCACCATTACACTTATCAGAGGAGACATCCAACCATCGCGAAATGGCGGTGAAATCTTCGTCG